TAAATACAATTATTCAGAGGTCTGTCGACAGACTGTGACTCAGTGCCTTGGATCTAAAAAATGCACGACTACTGTATTTAAACCAATCGCGAATTAACTGATAATAATTAATAATAATATATTGCATTATACACCGAAATGAATTTTTTTCCTCCATACACTGAGTAATCGTGAAACACTTACGGTCGCTACCCACTTTAAAGGCTGACCTCCGTTTCGAAAATAATCACTAATATAATAAAATAAACGTCCAATGGTATGAGTGTGTAATAAACTAATAAACAATAATATGCATACTACGACATCAATCACTGGTTAAACCGAATAATATATTAATGTGTGTTAATATGCGCTTAATGGTGCTACGACATAGACATTGATATATATTTCATGGTATACGTGCTGTATGTCATAATATAGTTTATGATACACTTCGTATTATGATACGAAAACTGGACGAATTTGATTTATGAAAACCGCGATTGGCATAGACAAAGCCATTTCTGTTGTCTGGAAAACACATGTTGCAACTGCAGTCCGATAAATAAATAGTTTCTTACCAACGTGTAATATACACGTCTTCGCTGATGGTTGATTGACCGCAGTGACGAGAACTCAACATAATTCGTTCTATAAATTATTTATAGCAGCGGATTTTTTAATAATAATATCCATGTAATAATGATATTGCTAAAACGTATCGATTTTTTAAAATACTGTAGAGTTTTTTTTTTTCATATTAATTAAAATTTTTTTTCTCACAATATATTATATGAGATGATGCAACATTATGTTTAATGTAGTTTTATTGGCAAAAGTGAGATGCTCTAATTGTACGGATTCAGTTCTCATCTATCTCGTTTGAAATCGTTATAGTTATTTCATAACACTGTTTACGTTACGACTGTATTCTTCAGGGTTCATTCTTGCGTTAAACAGTTTCGCGTGGAAAAAATTTGAAATTACGAAATGGCAAAATTATCACTGTTACTAAATACCATATAGTATTAAAATTTACAATTTTTTTTTCATCAACCATCACATAATTGTTTTCTTGCTTACTTATAATATTTAATGAATTAATTTCTATTAAATAAATTAAACATATTATAGTGAATACCCATAAGAATTGATACTATTATAGATTAGTCATATTTTCATTTTAAAAACCAAATAATCATAATATTCATAATAATCATCCATTGAAAATCATCCTTCTTACTCTAGTAGAATGGTTCCAGCACCGTTAGCAGAGTCGCTTAAAACGGAAATTGCGAAATAATATGTTAAACACAAATACAGTTATTATAATAATTGTAATTTTTAAATTAATTAATAACAAATTTTCAAGGACATTCCGTGGTTACATATATTTTTGTTACGTGTTATAGAAATAATCCTAATGATAAACGCCAGGATAATACAGTGGTGACGTCGGTTCGCACATAATAATAAAATAAACAATATTATACATTACAGCAATGTCATTGTACATTTTGTTTATTTGTTAATAACTCAACGAGAAATTCGATTCCTTAAGACTAATCTGATTGATTACCTTGAAGTTCATCTATATTTTCGTTTACATAATAACTGGTAGTATCACATAACTCGGACCTCTGACAGTGAATCGTTTTTTTCCAATTTAAATAATAAATAGCCATAAAGCTATACTGCAGTATACATGTCATCAATACGGCCACGGTGAGCTTTAATTTTTAACAAAACATTTTTGGTTTTTAAAGCATAACAGTTATTAATAGCTAAACACAAATGACTACTAAAATAACTGCAAAAGCATTTTATAATTTCGATGTGAATTGTGAATTTAAAACAGTGATCATTACAAACCGAGTAAGGTAGTAAACATTTACAGAAAAAATATCTCCATTATTGATTCCATACAGCTTCTGCGTACGTGTAACGTATTTTATTGTATTACCCGAGTAAAATACACTTATTGATGATCAGTCACCACACATGACACGCGCACATACATAGTAGGAATTACCGACAGTATATTCAAACACGAATGCCGTGCACAAATAATTTATTATTCCGCATTAAACACGTCTATGGAAAAAATATCCTCAAAACGAGCGAATAAGTACTATAGATTTCTGATTCTGAGTAGGTATCAACAATTAAAAAAAATTGTTTGAACAAAAAGGAAAATGTTCTGTTGCAATCCTGTCATTTAAATATCGAAAAGACTTATAAATACGTAGATAGTAAAGAATAATTTGTATGCGCATAAAAGTATCTAATAGTGAAGACACTAAAAATACGGTACGCTGAGATGCTAACCCGATCTGTTATTTGTATAACAATAAATTAAATCACAAGATTTGATATAAACTTAGAGATTAAAATCAATATTCTATTATATTACCATAAAAAAACATCTGAAACAGGAAATTCCCGGCAAATTCATTATTGATTATGACATATATAAATTTACGCTACAATTCACTATTTGTTTATCTTATATAAATTATTTTTTGAATTTTATGTGATATATTGTTACAATATTATTAAACGCATACTATAATAACTCGAAACAGTTATTATAATATTGTTATTAACATTTACTTAAACAATAAATCACTTTACAAGACATTTCACGAAATAAAGCTAAATATACAGAGAAAACAGAGGCAAATAAAATAAACGAAAAATGACATGTCGGTAATTCGCTTTCAAATGTATATAGTTTTGTTTACAGTACTATTTTGTAAATAGTGCCAAATATATTGAATAGTACACATATAATATAGAAGATTTCTGTGAAGAAAACAACACGTTTTTAGGCATGAAAAAACACCGAAAAACGAATCGAAAAAACCATTGTTATAAAATGGAAAACGGTTCTAGTCGTTCACGGCATCAAAATATTATAGGCACGACGATGATTGTTGACAACTACATCTAGACGATTTTAAGCGAAACGTGACTTGTTGAAACATCATGAATTATGACTCACGAGTAACGGCTGTCATAATGTGAAATTTCTTTTAATTTTTAAACTCATATTAAGTTATATTAATAATTTTTAGTAGTATGGTACAAACAAACTTATCATAAGTTAGAGTGACAATAAATTATCGTTAAATGATTCCCATTACAAACGTAAAAATAAAACACTTCTTAAACACAAAATATGGGATTTGTGTTTTTCAGAGTAAAAATAATTTATGTTAATACAACAAGAATTAAAGCCCCAGACTTTTACAAAATAAATATGAAATTTGTTATTTAATAGCAATTAACGAATTATTTTTTAAGTATTGATACAATGTAATATTTTGTATAACAGCTGTTTTATAAATAAAAGAAAATTTTATAAAATATAATGATATTTTAACGGTAAATCAACAGCTATATAACACATAAACAACTAAAAAATACCGAAGACTTAACTCTTAAAGAACCGTTAAATGAAAACTATTAATATAATATCAATGTTTTATGATGATGATGACGACAATTAAGTTTTATATAAAACAGATGAAGATAATTTGTATAACTAGTTTTGTCAGAGAAAGACTATCAACTATCATTATAACAAGAGGTTGGAATGACTTCAATAATTCAAATAAAAAAAAATTATTTCACAGCACACTTTCTGATGATAAATAGTTTTATATATACATAGGTATATAAACAATAGAAAGTACAAAAATAATACAATCAAGTTCTAATTGGATTAAGATAAAGTTTGAATTTTCTATTAATTATTACCTTAAATTTTTTTAATATAATAATATAAACGATTTTTTCTAAATAATTCAAAATAAACAAAATGATTATTTCTGTGAATAAGTGTACAACCTACAAGGCAATATATAATACTGTTATTACTATAATTATGTCTATAGACCTATTAGTGTTTAAATAAAATAAACTTAATAAATAGCTTTATACTAACTTAGTACAGCGATTATATTTTATACTATGTAAATCATTGATGATATAATAATAACACCATTGATTATAATGTATATTATAAAATCAATGATAATATACTAATATCTAATAGTGTATACAAAACATTACAAATGCCAAGTATAGTTTGTAAAAGCATATGGATAGATAAAAAATAATGAACATCACCATTTATAAATACAGGTATCATCGTTTAAATATTATTCAAGTGTATGTACAATATAAAAATACTTGTAACAATAATTCTATCTTTATTCTACCTATTTAGATAATTAGATCAATTTTAAATTCGGATAGATTTTTATCACAATCTTATTAAAAAAAAAAAAAAAAAATATCCGTACACAGTTGGAACGTAGATATCTCTATTGACTATTATATTAAAGTAATTAGTATAATTAATATAATTAATAGTCCTATGAAACGACATGACACAAAAACCCAGCTATACGAAACACAACGATGCTCTATTTATCGGTAATCGATATATATATATATATTTTATTTTTAAACTAAAAACGAAATAAACCGCAAGAAAACGTTACTCGTACCTATAGGTACAATTATCGCTTTAGGCGTTAGAATTTAAGCGCAGTCGTGTTATTAATAGCTTGCGAAACAAAAATTGTTCTACCCATTAACAAAACGTATTATTTTATGAAACATTTTATCGATCGCCAGACAATCGGTAAAACCATCAAACTCGCACGCACGTACGCACGCACGCACGCACGTGTAAACACTCGTAAAATCAAAAAATGCGACCTTAAAACAAAAAAAAAAACAAAAAAAAAAAAAAAAACGATAATATGTCAGACTGCAGCAGTCGGCGAACGCAGGACCCGAGAGCGCCGCACGACTGACATGCACTTCCGCATCGCGATATTATTGTAATGAATTAATTATTATTAATACGCGATCCGCTGTTAACACCACACCACTAATGCGTCAACAATACAATATTATATATCGTTATTAATTAATAATAATTATTGTCTCGGAACGCGGCGTGATACGCACGCGACCGATTGTTCGTCACAAACGACGGTTGTTACCTGAGGTCGCAGTTGCAGCGTGCTCGGCGAACGATTTCTCGGCGGCGTCCAAAAGCTCTGCCCGTGGACGATGGATGTGCGCAGTACCGCGCGGTCGCGTATCTCACGCCACGCGATTAACACCGCGAAACAATAATTATGACGATACGACAGTAATAATTTGTAATACCGCGAAGAACGGATATAAACGACGAAACGAAAAAACGGTTATCGTTACGGAGCGACGCGATAGCGCACTACTGATGTCGTTGTCGTCGTTGTTGACGACCCGGTCGGACGGCGACGCGAGTGTAACAGCGGCAGCGACGGCGACGACGCTTTCGGCGCGACGACCGCGACGACGCCCACGCTACAGCGCGAACCGATCATCGTGGCGGACCCGTCTGCACGCGGCGGTGCGTCGGCCGCCGATTATCGGCCGTGCGGTGTTATCGCGCGCGGCCTACGTCGCAGTGCCCGAGATACGGCGATGCGCGATATGCGTCACGGCGTTTCCGCGTTCTACGGTTTTTCGACGCCGCCCGTACGGCGTGTCACGTGCAAGATTCCGGCCCGCCGGGGGGCGGCAGCGGCGTGATCGGCGTTCGACGTCCGCGTGAACTCGGCGACGGCGCACGGCTAGACCGCCGTGACGGCGACGAAAATATAATTAAAGTTCACCACGTTACCCGGCGGGGGGCAGACCGCAGACGGGTTTTGCGCGTCTTTTCTCGGCCCGGTTAATGTTATTTGGTGTCGACGAAAACAAAAAAATAATATCCGGTGGCGGTAAACACTGCAGTCGCACGGATAATAATAATATGATATTTATTATTATTTTACTGTTCGACAGTCGTCCGGCGGAGAGTAGGTGCGCGCGCGCGATGAAAAACGGACCGGAACGCGTCGCCGCGCTGTACGGGGCTGCTGTGCTGTACGACGCCGAACGGAAAAATGACGGTTTTCGCGCGCGCACAGAACGGTACGGGCCGACCGCGCGGCGGAAGTGGTGGCGGAGGACGAGGACTGCGTCAGCGGCGGGCGACACGCACGGGCAACGGGCACACGACGACGACTGAGGAACGGTATGAACATTGAACACGGCGCGTACAATGGGACGCCCGGATAGCGACGTTGGTATAATAGGTAGGTAGGTACGAGCCGCCGTCGACGAACGGCTGCGGAGACGGTACGCGCGCGAACAAAAATCTAATACCGTGGAGAAAACAACGTGTCCGGCGCGCCGCGGCTGAGGTCATCGGGTTTGAGTTTTCGTCGTTATTGAAATATTACTATTATTATGTGTGTTTATTGACTCGGTGACGTATACGTAATTTATATGGGGGGAGGGGGGTCCGAGGAATACGCTAAAATAATATTGATAAAACATAACACTGTATATTATACAATACATTAATTTCATTTAAAAACTACAAGAGATTAAAACACAAAATTTTATTTTATTTTAGTTGTTTTTTTTTGTTAATTCGTCAATTACTTGTTCGAAATCGGAACTGATAAAAATGTTCCTACCAGATCCCAGTAGGTGTCTACAAAATCGATAATACTTTTGTATAAATGCGCAAAACCCATCCGTGTATTATATTTTTATTTTTTTTAAATTTTTTCTAATGTAAAAAAATGTATTATTTGCTGACAGACGTGCCGGCGCCGTTGTCGCAGTGTAGTTATCAATAGAGGTGGCGACGGCCCGCGCGGTCACCGATAAATCTAATTTTATTTTATATCATGTTTATAATATATGTATTAATATAAATATATTGTATGAAATCAATATAATCCTATGATTACCGATTAGTCAATAGTTTAACAGTGTGTCGCGTTTTTTATATGGCCGAATAAGAATTTACAAAATTCCAGCCATTTTTTTTTTATGTTTCTTTGTAACGCTTTTACATTAGGAACACTATTTCATAAAATTTTAAAAAAAGCCTATGGGGGAGGGGAGGGGTGGGATCTAGTTATATTTTCTTTATAAACGAAACACCGTTTACCTCGAAAATCAAAAAAGATAGGTACTGCTTCCTTTACACGTTTGTTTTAAACTAAAAACATATATACTTTTTTTTTAATATTAATTATCAATATTATTTTGTTATTATAAATTAGGACTGAAATTATAACATATAATTCAATTGCTATTCTTATAAGTAAATATACAAAACACTCCTGATATAATTAATGTATTATAATTTATAGATAGTTTAAAAAGTTAGAACGATTTGTTTAATATTTTTTATTCTAAATCGTTATAAAAAAATTATAATTATTAAACTTTATGACTATGATTTTTAATTTTAATTTATTTTATCTTTGGTCATTGCCTATACTTATAAAAATAGTTGAAACTAAATTCTAACCCAAAAAACGATAGGCACAACTATTAATAAGTAGGTGACAATTCCTTAATCGATATTGTGGGAAAATGGTCGAGGATTTGTGTCCGTAGTTCGAATAAACGAACATAAGTTTTTTGTATAAAAGTCTGTAATAACTGACGATTATTTTACACATTTACATCCATATTGTGATATAATATTGACCCACTCAGTAGTGGGTATTTTAAAAACTTGGTGAGTAATGAATATGTTCTGATATAACAATTTGGCTATAATTTAAAAGTATGATAATTAATATATTATGCATATTATTTACCCATGTCTTTATTATTTTTTACGTGTTAGAAACATGTGCAATGCGATTTCAATGTTTAAACTACATAGCACATACGAATATAATACATATTAATGTGGTAAAATGTATTCATTAAGGTTACCCTTAGAAAGAATTTATAAAATAAACTGAAGAAGTTTTCCACTTCAAAATAGTAAAAAAAAAACCTTGAAACCTTGACTAAAACCACATCTACCTCAATACATAGTCTTAGAAGACCTCGCAAACTAAACAACTTATGAAGTTACTTGCATACATGTAATGTAAATTATAACTAAAACGTCTATAACTATATGTAATATTTGTAATATTGTAATTATTGTAACATTGTAAAAACATTAGGTAGGCATATTGACATAATTAGTAAAATAAATGTATAGAAATAAAAATAATATAGTAGATAATTCAATTTAAATATGAATATTTCATTTAATATATAACATTGTAATATTTATTATAATGTCTCATATTTCAAAAAAATAATTTTAAATATTACCTAATGAGAATTAGTAATAAATTAGAAATTATACGAGTAAATATATATATATATATATATATATATATATATATATATATATATATATATGTATTCAATTTTATTCTGTAAATAAATTGACTTAATTAAAAATTCGGTTTAAACAAAATAAAATGGATTAAACGTACAGAATAAATATTTATCTGATATATTATTTCTATTAATAGTTCTGTGCTGAAGTTTTTTAATTAAATCTACATTGTTTGGTTTATTTTATTTGTAAATTTTACATAATATTGTTATTAGCCTCTAATTTTTACTGAATTATTGTATAAAATATTTTTATTTAAAAGTTATTAGATAAGCTAGATGTGTTATGCGAGTGATATTGTGCATTCTATATATGATTATAGTCGTTAACAATATATTTTTGCATGTGTATATCGTCGATTAAACGCTTTTCTCAATTCGATTGCTTATATGTATATATCTCTACACGTACAGAGTTTTACTACACATCGACACATATTTATTATAATATTTTTGTTAACAGAATTATACAAATATATTCGCAATAAAGTTAAAATGCTTTGACATAATTCAATGTCAGTTAACAATACCTAATGAAAATGTGGAAATGGCGAGAGAATTAAACACAGGATAATCATATAGTATAAATAACGACTCGGGGTATAAACACAGTGCAGTAAACACACCTCATACTTAACTTCTGTTTATTTAAAACTCAGACATAAACTTGAGCTCTTTTTTCAACTAACTGTTATCTAGACCGAGACTTTGAATTATTATTGAATAATCACGAAAAAAGTACTAATGCTAGATAAATGGAGGCCAACTTAAAAAAAAAGACAAATAACAAATAATTTTCGTTTACAAATATGAAATATGAGTGACATATTAATTTCGTAACGATAACCGGATGCAACTCTCCTGGCTCGTAGTGTTGCAGTGTAATTTTAAGAAAATATATTTTTTATATAATATATTTTCTACATCTGCTCAACATTTTTTGAAAAAATACAAAAGTATTTTTAATTTCTTGATAGTTCATTAAAAATTATTATAATTTAGACGACACGATTTTATACAATATGGAATTTTTTTCAATAAATATTTTATTATGCATAATAATGATATAATGATATAAATGACTAATGAGTACAGGCAACAGCAGTCTTAACTAAAGTTAAAATAAGTATTTACAACACACTCGATAATTTATTTGGGTTACACGTTTGTTTACATCAAAGATAACGAGTAAAATAAACGAATAAACGTGTAAAATATATACTTTTATGATGCGCACCTAATATGAACAATTTATAGGTAATACTTTTATAATATTAAATTATTAAATATTAATATTATTACATTGATAAGATTTAACCGAGCAAGGTTTCTAAAATTCAATGAGGTATTTTGGTTTTAAGCATAAGTAAACTGTACATTTTATGTAAAGTGCAAAATTTGTTAATAAACTTGTTAGTAAAATTTGTTGGTATAGACGTTAATCGTCTATACCAAGTAATGGATTCGAAAAATAATGTACCAACGTACTATTAACTATTTAACATCAAATATTTTTTTTTTAAATTAAATTCACGTAAAATAAGAAAATAAGTAATGATATAGCTTCATTAGCTTTGCTTAGAACCATTTTTCTATGATCCGAAATTTTGTTTTCAATAGTGGGTCACTTAAATTTTCTGTAATATCTCAATAATTCGTGTGCTAGTTTTGGTACTAATCTTTTAATTAAACTGAAAATAAATTCATTATAGAGTGTTTAATACCATCATTAGGTTGTGCTATATATCAACTGCTAATATTTTTTTGAAGAGTAAATAAAGAAAATGTCCACAAAGTATATGGTATACTTATATTAAATTAAATAATACAATTTCGAAATATTAATCACATATTCAATACGTGATAAAATACAGTGTAAACATTATTTGTAATAATGTAAATTTATTCTGAATTAATTCATAAACAATTTTATACACACTTGAATCAAATTATATGTTTTTAAATAATTATACTACATTGTATTTCTCAATAATATTATATTATTCATTAAAATGTTTTTGATGATTTTTAATGCCAATGCTAAACATTTACAATTTAAAACAAATAAAAATAAAGAAAATATCAAATGATGATAGAACTTTATGTAGGTACAATCTTCAGATATGAAATAATTTCCTTCTTAGACTAAAGGAAATAATGCTAAATAGAATCATACCCTCACTATACTATTTTATAGAATAAATTGATTTGATGAATTAAAATATTTTCATAATAAATATAAATGTTTAAAATTTATACAATATTTATAATTTATTTAACATTTCAGAATAAAATATCGACTCAATATCGAAGTTAAAATATTAACTGAACAGTTTAATACAACGTAACTTAGTCGATTACTACAAAGCTGCCAAATGTAATATCATTTTTATCTAGCATAATGTATCTAATAATACAATAATTATTTGTTAAATGATGAGTTAAGTACCATGCCCTCTTGTAATACATTCTAGTATTGTCAATCTATTACCCTGGTACACTTGTTATTTTAAAAACGGTATTTATAGGTATTGATATAATAGTAGGTATTATATAACGATCAAGGAAATAAAGTTTTTAAGAGTTTATGACAATATAAAATAAATATAATATCATGTATATTATATTATTTTTTACGAACATATTCTTTATAATATCTCTATTAATGATATTTCTAATGCTATAAATAGTTAATCTTAACTCATTTTTTTATTTGCGGATAACTTTAACTCGTAAAAATAATTAATTCTGATAATGATACGAATGACTTACAAATTATATAAATAATATTCAAACTTGGTGTTCAATAAAT